GAAGGAGAAGAGACATGAAATAGCCAGGAGACAGATAGTAAGACCCATTCAAGTAGAGGCAAGAAAAAGATGGCTGAAAGTATCAACATTTTCCTAGGTCTGGGAAAAAAAAAGAAGAATTTTTATTACAAAGACCAATAGTAGCAGTACTAGTAGTAATAATAATAATGAAAAAATAAGTAAATGGCCACTGCATTTTTAGTAGCAAGGTAAGATAAAGGATTTTGTGGAGTAGGAGCTAGTATAGGAATCAGTGATATTTAGATAAAACTAAGGGCTATGGTATTCCTGAAAAGAGTTTGATAAGAAACTTTTGTTGATATCCCCCATCCATTCTTTACTCCTTTGATTCTTTTTTTTCTTTGTACTCTTCGTGACTGTTCATCCTTGACATATAACACATTTACAATGCAATTTATATGCAACTCTATTTCCTTCTAGGAACTCATCTGTTGGAACAAAAGTACATTCTTTCCAGTGCTCTATTTCTAAATAAAACAAAACCAAAAACTCATAAATATATATTGACAGAAAAGAGAGAGATAAAAGAAAAAGAGAGAAAGAAAGAAGTTGAGAGTAAGATTTCAAATTCCTCATTTATTGTTTCTCTTAGAGTAGTACAAGTCACAATGCAACATCCTTTCAGATTTTTATATAGTATTAGATACATATATTTAAAATTTATAAAAATGGACCTTGGTAAATATTAAGGTACTAATGACCCATTTATCTTGGATGTGTTTCTAATCAGTATTTATAAACCCACCAAATTCAATATTACTTCCATTTATTAATCTAACTTTAAAAACATATGAGATGCTGGGTGTGGGGGCACATGCCTATAATCCCAGCACTCACAAGGCTGAGGCAGGAGGATTGCAGTGAGTTCAAGCCTGCACTACATAGTGAGATGCTGTCTCAAAACAAAAGAACACAAAGCAGAACAAAACAAGAGAAACAGGTAAGACTTGGCAGTAACTATGGCTGACACAGATTTGAAAATGTCAAGATTGAGCATGTAAGAATATTGCATATGTGATATAGAACGAAACAGAGTTCCACTCCCAATCAGGGGTGTAGAAAATATAATAGTAATGTACACACAAACACATTAAGGAAAAGTTATATGGTATGAGTGAATAAGAATACTGACAACACATCACTGTCAACTCAATATTCCTGTCCAGCAGCAGAGTATGAGCAGAGCAATCAGAGTTACAGAATAGGGAATTTCCTGTAACCCCAATTTAGCTTACAAATACTGCTCTGCAATGAATCTGACACAAAGAGGGAGGTGCAATACAACTCTACTTACCCTAATTTATTTACACCGGCAGTAATAAATACCCTGTTTTTATGCAAGTGGACATGCATTAATATACTATAAAATGAAATGCTTTCTCTCTCATTCAACACCAGAAAAACCTATCAATACACCCCATAATACTAGAACAGGAAACAAGAATTACCTCAACAGATGAAGAAAAAGTATTAGATCATTACACAGTCACTCCTGCTAAAGTTAAATGAATAAATAAATGGATGCATGAATGAATGAATAAAAACATTTAATAACCAGAAATAGAACACTTAAAAATCTTGATAAGATAGCAACTGAAATCCCACAAAAAACACATTGTACTTGGTGATAAAATTTTAACAGTATTGCAGAAAAGTCAGGGATAAGAATGCTATCCTTACTTCCACTAAACACTGTATTTACAAATGTTACTTTTCTCTAGATAGACCACCTAGAAGTGTAACCAAAAATAAAATGAACAAAGAAAAAGTTCAGTACAGTTTCTGTATATGAGACCAATATATGAAAACTGATGTGTCTTGTATACAACATTAATAACCAACTTAAAAGATGTATTTTTTGTGATGCTGGGGATCAAATCCAGGGTCTCATTCATGTTGAAATAGCACTATATCATTCAGCTATTAAGTTAAAAAAAAAAAACCTCTAATTTTAGAAATGAAACATAGGAAAACGTTTTAAAAGGTAATGAAAGGAATTACAAAGCATTAAAAAAAACCCTTGCATATAAATAAATACATAGTTTAAACAAAAACCGAGTCAAAATCCTAATCAGATTGTCAGGGTGGCACTGGGGATCGAACCCCGAACTCTCTCACTGAGCTACAACTCCAACACATTTTTTTTTTTGAGACGAGGTTTCTCTAAGTAACTTGTCAAGGCTGGGCTCAAACTTTCCATCCTGTTGCTTCAGTTTCCCAGAGTGCTATGATTACAGGCCTGCACCATCATGCTATATTTTTGTGTCTAAAATATTTCATATTAAAATTTTGGAAGAAACTAAAAATAGTTCAAAATCTCAGGGTGGGAAAATTCTAAACAATAAAGCACAGAGCACACAGTTACATTTTTTTTTTTCCTCTTTTTTGAGACAGGGCTTCACTTGCTATGTAGTTCAGCCTGGCCTTGAGCTCACTTTGTAGCCCAGGTTGGTCTCGAACTCACAACAATCCTCCTGCCTCAGCCTCCTGAGAGCTGGGATTACATGTGTGTGCCACAATGCCTGGATGCAATTACAATCTAAAATGTTAAATTCAACAATTAGTATCCAAAGATAGAAAGGTTTTGATCATTAAAACATCGCATAAAAAGTGAAAAGCAATAAACAAATTCAGACAAGATATTTGTAACAACCATAATTAGTAAGCAAATAGTTAAGCTATAAAAATAAAATTATTCACAGATTAAATTTCAAAAACAATCCAATAAAATATGGGCTAAATTGAGCCCAGATTTTTCATAAACCCTAACAGCTGTAAGTACATAAAAATGCAAATCTCCATTAACAAGGGGGAAAATGAAGATTTAAAAAAAAATTTATCTCCAGGCAAAACTTTCAAAGTATGACATTAGCAGGTGCTTAAACTCATGATGTACTAAATTAGTTGATGTCAAATGGGTTTGTGCAGTGATGAATTTCACAACTTGAATGTGTAGTGAAAAAAAGCAGCACAGGGGCTGGGAATTTAGCTCAGCGGCAAAAAGCGCCTGCCTGGCATGCGCAAGGTCATGAGTTCGGTTCCCGGTACCGGAGGAAAAACCAAAAAAAAAAAAAAAAAAAAAAAAAAAAAAAAAAAGCAGCACAGAAGGGAAGGAATGAAACAAATATATTTACATAAAAGGCAAAACCATGAAAACTATTTTTTTTTTAAGAGCAGAATGTATTTACTGAGGGAAAGAAAGCTTCTGTCCAAGACAGGGACAGAAGTGGGGCCCAAGTGGGTTACCCAAGACTCTGTCTTTTCTAGGGACTTTTATAAAGCAAAACCACGAGGTGCGGCGGGTCCAAGGTGGTGGAAAAATGGACAAAAGTAAGGTCAGCCAGTAAGAATTGTTCAGGTAAAACTGATTAAACCGGGATCAAGTGGGGAAGCGAGTCACGTGGCAAGCTAGCATGAATACAAGAACAGGGGCTTTTCCTGTGAGGGGTTGGGTCAAGGACTCTTCAAGGTGATCACTACCTATTTAGAATATCAATCCCTGATGTCCATCCCTAGGGAGGTATGTGAGTGTATTTGTTTAGTCCTTTGTCTTGAGGTCTGGCCCACAGCAAATACTATTTTTAGGGGATTATACACATATAACATTTTAGAAAAGCAAAAAAATGAGAAATACAAAGTTCAGCACATCAGTAATGGGAAAGATGTGGTTTGGAAAACACAATATAGGTATTTTTCTATTTCTTAAGGTCTGCGGTGGATAGTAGGCTGTTCTTATCATTCTTTAAAATGTGCAAATACGAAACTGTAATCATTTATGCATGTTTCACAATTAAAATTAGTTATATGGAATCCGGTGAGCTGTTAAGAACAGTCTTCACAAATACGTTTACACCAACGATGTCTAGCCTGCGGGTCAATGGGTCCTTGTTACTAGGTAACCTAAACAAAAGGTAATTCTCTTGGCTTCTAAAGCTGATGTAAGATAGACACGCTCAGCTGTAACTTCTACTTCCACAGTTCTTCTGTTCTTCTCTTCTACTGTACTATTTCTAGTAAGCGACTTGACTACAAATATGACTTTCAATACATTTGCAAATTACAAATGTCACCTTTATCTGTCTACTCTGGACTTCCAGGCAAAGACGCGTTCAAAGGAAAAGAGGCAAAGTAACCTAGTTTGTGAACTCTGAAAATAACCAGTGTACTCTGAACGTCTAACTTGAAAAACAAAAATCAACCGTTTGTCCTCTGTTAAACAGAGCTTCCCAGCTGAGCCTCAGAAGACAACTTCTAGTAGAGAGGAGGGTCAACTCCCCTACTTTCCGCCTCTTTCTCCGCGCCTCCCCGCCGCGAGGCTCCCCGGACCGCGGAGCAAAAAACCCAAGCCCCGCCCTCTTGGGCACGCCCCTTCGAGGAGCCCCCGCCCCCTTCGCCAACCTCTCCCCGCCCACTTCGCGAGCCCCGCCGGCCCCTCTCCACTTGGCTCGTGAAACGGCTTAAGCGAGCGTTTGAGAGGCGGGCCTGGTCGGGCTCGGGCTCAGCAGCTCTCGGCTTTCTCCGTCTTTCTCCGGGTCACTATCGCTTGGCCAGCCGAGTCCCTGCTGGCGTCCGACTCCCAGAGCCTGGTAAGTAGCCGCCGGAGTTGGGGTCCCAGTGACGCGGCGGCGGCGGGCCCGCGGCGCACAACTGCGCTTGCGCGCTCGCCGCCAGCCAATCGGCTCGCCGCTTTCCCCCGCCGCCCTTTGACCCCGCGTCCTCGGTCGGCGGCGGGAAGCCAGAGGTCCGGATTGTAGGGGCGCAGTCAGCGGGGTGATCGCTGACCCAGACTTACCTTTAGGTTATTTTGGTAGCTTTTTATTCCGTGTAACCGGCGGAGCCTGCTGTCACCTCGGCTGTCCTCGGGCGTGCCCGCCCCCCCGGGCGGCAGCGCGACCCTCGGGCGGACCGCGACGTTCACCGCGCTTTCCCCTAGTCCGCGCCGCTGCGCTCGGCCTGCGGGCGACGGAAGCCGCGGAGGGAGCCGGGCCCGGCCTGGGCTGCGCTTGCCGGTTCCTCGGCGCCTTTGGGCCCGGGGACAGAAAGACAGGGTGGCTGGGCCGCCGTGCAGACGGCTTCTGCATTCACTGATAGCGTCTGTCTCTGACATTGTAGACCGTATCCTTTGCCAAGTATCAAGGTCCAGCCTTACGGGGCGAGTATTTTTGTTTTCTAAAAACAAAACAATCTGCAGGCAGTTGGAAGAGTGTAATACAATTTTAAAAAACAAACAAGAGTGGGATGATGGCGTGCTCACGTTAATGTAGGCAGTATGAAAGAGAAATACAAAGTACATATTAAACGTGTTGGAAATACAGTTGTCAGTTGTTTTCATGACAGTACGTTACTTCACTTTCGTGGAGCTCTACGTAAACACTCAGAAAAACTAGAGGCATGCTGTGAGGTTGGTGAATTTTGAGGCTCTGCCTGACATTTCCAGAGGTGCTGCTGCTATTCGTTCACATGGTGTAGCGGGTGTATGATGAGAACCTACTTAAACTGCCTTTAGATTAAATTTGGGTCACGGTTCTTGGGTTAGGTAACAGCTAATCATTGTTTTGTAAATTCACAATCTTTAAATGAAAAGATAGGTATATCTGCACCGTTTGTTCATGGCACAAAGATTATTGTGCTACCTTCTGGGAAGAGAGTTTGAGAGCCACAGCTGAAGTTCTAAAGTCAGATTACCCCTCGCTGGTTGATGAACCTCAGGTTATGTAGCCATTTGCTGGATCAGAGACTTTGAAGTAGTTAATCAGCTGTGCAGTGTTATCACTTGTAAACGGGTGTGAAACTGCTTCAAAGATGGTTGTGAAGATTAAAACGAATTAATGAGGATCTTCCTAATTGATTTACTGTGAACCAAAAGGTAAATGTGTTACTGTAAAACTGACCTGGGAAAGGAAGCCTTAGTACCAAAACTGATTCTGAAAGTTCCAGATGTGTCTTCTTGTATTGTCTCCAGTGATCTTATACAAAAGAAAACAGAAAAAGCATGAGGTGTCTTTACAGTTTAACTGATAATAATTTTAAAGATGGAAACTTTTTGACTTTTCTTGATTACATGATAGCTGAAAATACTTTTTCAGTAATAGTATCATGCTGCTTCCAGATATTCTGGATCGCTTAGCTGACTGGGGATGTTAAATTTGTTGGACCTTATTACACATTCAAGTTAAGTAGTTTTTAAGAAGATTAAAAACAAAACACAGAAATAAACACTATAGTTTCAGCTAGTTTGAAAGGAAGGTATTATGTATAACTTCTGAATGCAGAAGCTATCAGCTTTGAGAACCTGTGTAATATGCAGTTGACTTGTCTTCTTTTCTGTTACTTCTGAAACTTTATTTTTTGTTGTTGTTGAAACTAAATAAATAATTCTTTCAGCTCTTCCCTGCAACATCATCAGATGTTATCATTGTGGTTTTGCACTTTTTTTTTTAGAATATGAAATTTTATTGGGAAAAAGAATGGGGAATGTTTGATAGACAAGGGATCCCAAATGGGTTACCCTGTTTTGAACGTTTTAAATATTTTTATTTAAACAGCTTTTAAAAGTTATATAATCTTTATGATTCTTTTATATACTATACTCATTATAGATCCTAAACTTGCCAAGTGTGTATTTAGTCAGTTGAGTCTTGTTTATGTACGTACTGTTCAAATACATTCCAGTGTCAAAAGCAAGAAGCCAGAAACTAAATTGAGCTGAACAATTATTTCTAATTATGTGTGAAATATGTTGGCCTCTATTGGACTGTAAAAAAAAGACTCGTTTCTAGGGTGCATAAACATGTAAATAAATAGTCTGATGCAATACATAATGTAAGAAATACCAACTTGAATGTGGCTAGTGCCTGGTACCAATCAGTGATGGCAAATCTTTTAGAGACAAGTGTCCAAACTGCAACCCACAACCTACTTACTTATTGCAAAGTGTCAACACTACAGTTAAACCTGAATACTGAGGCTTCAGTGTAGAAAAAACAATTCACACATTAACATCTTTTATCTTAAAAACACTACAGATGCGTGCTATAGGTTCTGCACGACTGCATAGACTGTTTTGCTCTGGAATCATTACAGGTATCAAGAAAGGAGACAGCGTTTCCGCTTTGACCTGAAGTATAAGTGATATTTTTTAAATATACCATATGGAGAAAAAAACCGATTAGAATAAACCATACACTTGTTATGGTTGCTTAGCAAACACCCATCTTTAATATTGTCATCACATCAATAATTATTTATTTAGTTTTATATTAAATCAGACATGATTCTGATTTTACAATATCACATTAAGTTTTCATCCTCACAGAAAATAATGTGATTGAGCTTGTTAGAGAAAACAGACCAAACATGGGAAGAAAGAGCACCAAGAAGGCAGTTTATTACACTGGTGGGCTTCTCACTAGGATCTCTCCCAGAGAGCCAGAACCCTGCCCATTGGATTTAGGGGGCGTTAGAGGGAAAGTGAGCAGAGAGGTACACAGGCAGATTTGGTGCATATGATCAGACTGTTGAATGACACTGAGGGTTGCTGAGGCAGTTTGAACATCTCAAGTTACATTGTAAAGCTATCAGTTATACAAAGCATGGGTTAACAAAGGAATAAATGCCCTGTTACATTTTAAGTTATATTACAAGGCCATCAGTTATACAAAGGCAGTAGAAATGGATTGCACAAAAGAAGAAATGTTCTGTTATCGGGCCACCTGCCGGACATGTCCATTTGGTCTTAGCGGGCATCCTGGGCAGGCATTTATTTGAAATTTTAATTTCCCCCTTCAAGCTGATTCATTTTACAGTGGAGGAAAAAAATACAATTCAATCAAGTCACTTAAGTAAATCAGATAACTAAAGAATGATACTGCTAGAATTGGAACTTGGGCATTTTAACTGCAGAATAACTTTTAATCACAATGACCAGGTTCCTTTTGATGGAAATGACTTAATATTGTTAACTAAGATACGGAGATGAGGATAGAGGCAGTGGATCATCTGCACATAAATTATGTAAAAAGAAGAGAAAGGGACCAGCTTCAGAGATTACATTGACAGGCAAGAAAGAAACAGAAAGTAGCCATCATAAATTTACAGTTAGGTGTTTTTGTTCATGGATAGATGCAGAGAATGAATCTGAAAATACTGTATGTAAAAAAAAATGCAGTGTTGTTTCTTATGATTTCTTCACTTCTCATTTATTTTTAAATCCTAAGTAATATTTACTGTCTGATTAAACATTATCCTTTTATATTTTCTTTCACAAACACGTTTTTGGATGATTCACAGAAGAACTGTGTCAGCAGACAAACCTTTTTTAAGGTCATTATGGCTGATTTTAACTTACATTTTCAGATTTCAAAGTCAGTGTTCTCACTGTTGCATATCTTGAGTCTTTCTTGTATTTTCTCACCCAACTGAAGTCAAGTGTCTCAAAACATAGTCTCTTAATTTTGGAATCTAATAGCTATTGCTTCTGTTACCTCTGAGTCTTAAGCATTCATTAGCATTATTTCCTTATGAAATACTTGCCCCAAGCTTTTCTTCATTATGAAATACTATGTTCTAAATTTAGAAGATGAAATAGCTACTATTTTCTCACCTATAGCTACATGTATCATACATGTTTAAGTATATTTCTTTGCTCTCTATATATAATGCTATAGAGATCATTTCCATTTTTTTTCTGCTTCATGTCTTACTAAAAGTTCATTTTCTTTAAGCAAAGAGAAGGATTTGTCATTGTCATTGTAACTTGGAAATTTCAAGACAACAAATTGTAGGCACAGAACCAAATGACTATACAGTTCGTTTCATTTTTTCCTATCCAACAAACCAGCCTGCCACATTCCACACGTACAAGTGCATAGCTTTCTGGAGTTATGCAATGCTCAGTCAGAAAGATTATGAATTGGCCCTTCAGGAATAAGAAGATTGTATATTAATAATTTCTTCTTTCCACTCTACTGGTAGGATTCTTTTTTTGACTTCTCAATTTTTAAATGAAGACTTTAAGAAAGTTGTAAATATAAATAATCCAATAATTTCTGTTTATTTTTCCTAAATATTTTATCATGTTTGCCTGTCATTAAATATATGTATAATCAGTGGTACCTGGGTTCATGAGTTAACTAAGATAACTTAGTTTGCAAACAAAAGCAAGCATTTGGTAAAATTTTGTTTTTGTTTGGAAACTGCATTAGGTAACAAACATGACCGTGGCCTTTGTTCACACACAAACACAAACCCAAAGTCATAGAACAAATTAAGTTTGTGAACTGAGGTACCACTGTACTCAAATTTATTTAAATGTTACACTGTATTCTATGTAAAGTTGTCCCTGTGTACCTGCATAGGGGATTAATTTCACAAACCTCCATGGATACCAAAATTCTTAAATGCTTAAGTTTCTTATATCAAATGGTGTAGTCTTTGAATATAAACTATTTCTTCCTATATACTTTAAATCATCTATGGATTACTAATCTAATGCATTGTAAATGCTATATAGCTGTACTTTGTAGGGAATTAGTGCCAAGATTATGTCTGTATATGTTCAGTACAGATACAAGTTTTTTTCCCCCAATTATTTTTCATCTGATGTTGATTGAATCCAAGATGAAGAACTCAGAGGTATGGAGGACTGATTATATACATTATGATAGTCTGTGTATGTGTGTAAAAATATGTATATGTGTCCATAAAAAGTATATGTATGTGTACATATGTGTATATCATTAACATACCATCTCATGCATCTTCATAAATAAGTAAGATTAATTTTTGCACAGAATGTCACAGCAGTGAGTCTGTGTTCTGTATATATTCATCAGAAATCGCTGGTTATTTTGGGTTTTAGTCTATTTTATTCTGCTTTTATACCTGAAACTAGATAATTCATAAAAAACAGAGATTTATTTCACATTGTTTTGAAGGTTGACCAGTCTGAAATCAAGGCATTAGCAGGACCTGCTGTCTGGTGAGGTCTGCTTTTTGCTTTCAGTCTGGTATCTTGATGTTTCATTATCTGAAGAACAGGAGCTATACCTGGCAGAAGAGTGTAAGAGGCCAAATAGAACTCCCTCAAGCTCTTTTGATAGAAGCCTTAATTTTTCTTAAAGAAGGGAACCTTCATGGCCTAAACATTTTCCCTTAGGCTCAGTCCCTCAACAGTAGGGAATTAGGAATTAAGTTTCCAACACATGAATTTTGGAGGACACATTCAAATCATAGCATTTTGGTAGTGGTCAGAATATCTAATGTTTGATTATTTTTGTATCTACTATCATTTAAAAAATATTGTCTGATTGAGTCTTATTTTAAAGTATCTTTTATAATGTTTAATTATTCCTTTCTGGTAAAGTTTTAGTCAAAAAAGCATTTATGGAAATCCACTTTTATTACTATTAAAGTATATTTTTAATTATTTACTTCTGTTAGCTCTGATTTTGAATTTTACACTTAGGTTTAGAAAATTTTCATTTCTATAGATGGAATGTTCCCTTTCTGTATTCAGTGTACATAAATTCTGTTCAAGGAAAGAAAAATAAATTTTTCATTTTCTTAAGTAAAATTCATACAAGGTTTTTCTAAGTGTAATTGGCATGCAAATGGTGGTGTTTCCAAATCAGTGCCGCCATTTAGTGTAGCTATATGTAAATTCTTTCACAAACATCAATATTTGATGATATAATTAATGTGCATTTTATTAATCTTAAATCTGATAATTAAGGATTTTACTTTCCATTTTGAAGACATTGGAAAAAATATTGTTGATGCAACTTACTAATTATCTTTTTCAATAAATTACAGCAGAACATGTACTGTTTTGGAATTTAAAAGTATGTCATCATGGCAAAATTTCGGAGAAGGACTTGCATCATTTTGTCACTTTTTATTCTATTTATTTTCTCTCTGATGATGAGTTTAAAAATGCTGAGACCAAATACGGCTACTTTTGGAGTTCCTTTTGGACTTGACCTTCTTCCAGAACTTCATCAACAAACTGTTCATTTGGAGAAAAAACTAAATTTACCAAAGAGTGGCAGAATCAACAGTGAAACCAATACCAAGAATTTAAAAAGTGTTGAAATCACTATGAAACCTTCCAAAGCCTCTGAACTTATTAACCTTGAAGAACTGCCACCTCTGAATTACTTTTTGCATGTATTTTATTACAGTTGGTATGGAAATCCACAATTTGATGGTAAATATATACATTGGAATCACCCAGTGTTAGAGCACTGGGACCCTAGAATAGCCAAGAATTATCCACAAGGGAGACACAACCCCCCGGATGACATTGGCTCCAGCTTTTATCCTGAGTTGGGAAGTTACAGCTCTCGAGATCCTTCTGTCATAGAGACTCACATGAGACAAATGCGCTCAGCTTCTATTGGTAATTATTTTATTTATGTATGTGCATGTATATATACACAGTATATAATTTTTGGTAGAAGATTAAGTTCCTGTTTAGTCTTCACATATTACATGTTTGAACTCAAAGCTCCAAATTAAAACCTGTGTTTTTAAAAATTCAAGGAACCACCTTTTATTAGTGTCTTTAATGTATGTTATTTAATTTCTACAATTTTAAGTGTTTTCATTTTTAATGCATTTTTTATAGATTTCTGATTTTTTTTTTTGTACTGGGAATCAAACTCAGGATCTTGTGCTTGCCAGGCAGGCCCTATGCCACTGAGCTATCTCCCCAGCTTGATTTCTAATTTAATTCTATTTCTCACTTATGATTTACCTAGAATACAGTGAATTCCCCCACTTTAAATTAAAAGCTCAACAGTGTTTCTCAAAAGTGTACACCACTTGAATCGAGAATTAAAATATTTCTGTAGTCCAAAATATTTCATCATGGTTGCCTTATTTATCCCTATCCTTGCTATGAATCTGATTTCTGTCGTCGTAGTTTTCACTTACTACTTTATGAAAACTGAGTCATCCATCACTTGTGTCTTATTAGTACAGTATTTTAAAATGTACCTATATTGTTAAATACTCAGTAGTGGTAGTTTTTGTTGATGAGTAATTGTCAATTATATGATTATAGGAAATCTGACTTTGCATTCAAATATCAACAGACAATTGGACTGTTTCAACTTTTATAAATATTGCGTATGACTTTGTTTTGCTTCTCCGTTTAAATAATTTTGACAGTCTCCTTTTTTATGATTTTTGTGTTTACTTCATTTGTATTTAATGAAATGATAAGATTTTTTCTTTTCTTTTTTTTTTTTTTGTCATTTTGAGATAAGAGTCTGTATACAGTTCAGGCTGGCCTTGAGCTCACTTTGTAGCCCAGGCTGGTCTCGAACTCACAGCGATCCTCCTGCCTCATCTTCCCAAGTGCTGGGATTACAGGCATGCATGATAAGGTTTTAAATGTGGCGTTTTGATATTTAATTTGCATGTGCCCTGTTTGTGTTTCTTTTCCTCCTTCTTACCTTCTCTTAAAATTGAACATGCATATTTTTCCATTTTATGTTCTCTTCTGGCCTAGTACTTATATTCATATATTCATTCACTTTATTTGTTTTGTAATTGCTTTAGAGGGGCTGGGGATTTAGCTCAGCGGCAAAGTGCTTGTGAGTTCGGTTCCCGGTACCGGAGGAAAACCAAAAAAAACCAAAAAAAACAAAAGTAATTGCTTTAGAGTTTACATTATACACCATGGCTTAATTGGTGGGACATCGTTGGCTATTCTGATTGTTAGTATTCCCCCTCTGCTTTGTCTTCTGTTTTTTTCTGGTATTACAGCTACATGTATTTTAGGTAGTCATATTGTATATAATTTGGTGCCAGAAAAGCTTTTATTTTTTTAGTATACACTTTTGTAAAACTTTGCAGTTTCAATTTTGTCTTGTTAGTACTGCTGATAGTAGGACTACAAGAAAAATTAGATCCAAGAGGAAATTCTCAGATTTTCCTAGCTCTCCATAAACTAATGTACTCATTGTGGAGTTAATATTTATACAGAAAGAAATTCAAGGCTCTTCAGTGAACAAACCTATATAGAATCTAGGGCTACCTTAATATGTGTAAGCTGATTTAGTTTTCTTCTGTGGGGTAACTGGTTTGTCAGTTATTTATGTCATCGTATTTTCTAGTATATATTAGCTCTACTTTGTATGTTCTTTTCATAAAATAGGTTTGGTAAAGCTTATATAGACACTATTGACTTCTGTGTGGTGAGCATTTATGTGCGTATCTTTTTATTTACTAATTTACAGGAGATAAACTTTTGAAATGATTTTTTTCTGTTTTTCATAAGAAAATTTATATCACATTTAATCTTTTGTTATATGAGAGACTACTTTGTTGTAAGTATTGATTAATTTTCTTTTTACACATTGAACTCTGTACAATGAAGTTTTCCTCATTTAAGGATATAACTTTTATATTTTATATATTTATAATATATAACATGCATATATTCTGTGCAGTAGAAGTATATATTTTCTATATGAATGTATATATCTTACTGTGTATGGCATGGTTTAGTTTTGATTAAGCACAATGTTTTAGTTCATATTTAGTTTTGTGACTAATGTTTATAAAAACTCTTCCTTCATATACTGTTTCCCAACTACATTGTATTTATGAACATGAATTATTTCTGAACATTGACATACTATAATTGTTTTTATTGTGAATGCTGATTTTATTATTAATGTATTATTATTTTATCTGGATTTTCTGCTGACCAAAAAGAAAAACTGATAGTAATAAAATAAAAATTTGAAAATAAAAAAATTTATCTTAAAACAGTTAAATTTTAAATTATACTCCGTTAGCATATGCAAAAAATAATTTCACTATAGAAATATTGGTTGTGTGAAGTAATCACACTGATATGTGACAGAATACAAGCTAGTTGATCTTGTTCTTTTCCAGTTAAAATCATTGTGCTTGAAAATCCTAATGACCCAGAATTTTTTATTGTTGAAAAAATGATAATACGACGTATTGTTTACCAGTCCAATTAATATACAGTGTCTTATTAGAATATATCATAACAGGCTATCTGTGTCCCTTTCAGCTCTTTTAGACAAAGGGTTATATGTCAGAATATATTCTAGTTCTTATATTGATATCTTTACAATTGGAAAAGTACCAAATAGATAACGTTTTCTTTTTAAATGCAGTTTTCAGAAAAGCCAGTTGGAAAGCCAGAATAGTGGCTCCCAGGGGATAACACAGATGATCCCTAGAATCTGTGGAGTTTATATTTTCCATGACGAAGGGAATTAGAGTTTTCAGTTGCAAAATTGCTAATCAACTGATCCTAAAATCCCGCTATTTTAGATTACATGTCACAGGCTACTCTAATCACATGGAGTCTTATAAATAAGAAAGGAAAGCCAGAAGGATGCCGTGTACAAAGGACTCAATCCCTCGTTGCTATCTTTGAAGACTACCCACAATATGATTTGGCCTCTGTAAAGTTCAATGTCAAAGAAGTGGATTCTTCCCTAGACCCTCCAGAAAGAGATCAGTCCGATCCAACGCCTTGGTCTTAGCCTATTTAGAGACATATCACATATCTTACCTTGAAAACTGCAACACAGTAAATTTATAGGTAAAGTAACTAAGTTTATGATAATTATTTATGGCAATTATAGAAAAGTATTATACCTAGTAAGTAATTCACTGTACGTATTTAAAATTTTCTTCCTTTTCCTTCAGCTTCACACAAAATATTGTTTCCAGCATGTCCTTAGCTACTATTAGATTCTAGGGACAAAAAGATGAGTAAGTCACATTCCCTGCCTGTGTTGTTGTATTCATTAGTCCTTCAAAAATACTAGAGGGAAATTAATAATAGAATATTTTCTGTAAGTCGAAAATATCCTGGCTTTCAAGGTCACAGTTTTTATTTCTGCATCTCCTACCTTTAAAATTTGCATATAAAAAGTAGGAGAAATAGAATTTATTAGAAGATGAGTTAGTTTTTGAAGTTTAAGTGTACTTAATAGCATCTAACATGATGTCATAAATTTTCTTTATAGACTAACTTGTTTGCATTAATTTTAAACATATCTGTCATTGTAAAGTAGAGATATATCCTGTATACCTTTCATAATGTTATGAAAGGACTCTTAATGTTATGAAAGGATAATGTTATGTAGGACTCTTAACTACTTGAATGTAGTTGTATTGATTGCTTTATCTCTTGGCAATATGTTTTTCCCCCCTGCTTTTTCCTATGTTTCCTAAGTTTATTGAAAGCATGTCATCTTGTGTAGGATAGTTGTAGATTATTGAAAACACATCATCTTTTTGTTTGACAGTTTATTTGTTGAGAAGTCTGTCCTGTCTCTATTAAACTGACCTTATATTTTTATTTTAAAAAATCATATGGCTTTGGATTTACTTCTGAATTTGTTTGGATTTACTTCTCTGTTCTAATCTATCAATTCTTTTTGTCTATCCTTTATCCAGTACGATTTCTTGAGTGTCATAGCTTTATAATAAGCCTTGAAAACCTATAGAGTGATTTCAGAATTGCTTTGGCTATTATGGTTCCTTTGTCTGTCCATATACATTTTAGAATCAGCTGGTCCATATGTACAAACTATCCTGGTGGAATTTTGATTGGAATTGCACTGAACCTATACTTCATTTTTCAGGAAAGTTGATATATTAACAATATTGAATTCAAGTCACCATATTAAATAATAACAAATCTTCCATTCTATGGATATAATGTAGGTTTTCATTTCTGTAGGACTCAACTTTTTTTGCTTAGATTTTTCAAATGTTTTTATTTTTTGACACAGTATTTGTTCAGATTATGGGATAAGATACATAATGACCAGGATAATTGCTTATTCACCTTAGACATAAATCATTTATTTTTGCTAGAAATACTTAAAAGTACTCTACTGGCTATTTCGAAGTATCTATAAATTGTTGCGAACCAGTTATCCTACTTCGCTATAGAACATAAGGAATTACTCTTCCTATTTGCACCCTTGTGTACCTGCTAACCACCACTCACCATCTTCACCACCTTTCTTGTTCAGGTAACCACTATTTTCTCTTTTGAAATCAGTTGTTAGTTTCCACATACAAGTGGCAACATGTGACATTTTTCTTTCTGTACCCAATTTACTTTTCTTAACATAATGTCCTCCACTTCCATCCATATAGCTGTAGTGGACAAAATTTCATTCTTTTTATGACAGAATTATACTTCGTTTTGTGAACCATATTGTGTACCATAGTTTTCTTATCCATTGAACCATTGCTAGACACGTAGGCTGATTCTCTATCTTAAGTTTTGTGATCGGTACTGAGATAAATATACTTCATTTCAGTGTATCAGCACACTTCAGTTCCTTTGGGTATACACTGAGTAATGGGATGGCTGGATCATATGGT